TACATATCAACAAATAAACAAACAAATAAATAAATAATGAAGCGGACACACCGCACCGCACCGCACTAGAAAGAGATGGAACGGAACGGAATAGACCAGAACACTGTATGGTACAATACATACCCACAATAGTACATACATACATAGGTAGGTAGGTAGGTAGGTAGGTAGGTAGGTAGGTATCAGGTGGAGACACAGGGATGGATGGATGGATGGATGGATGGAATGGCGGGGACAGAGGGAGATGATATTAGACGATGATGATGGCGATGGCGATGATGGAGATGATGATGGAGATGATGGAGAGTGGAATAGAGTAGAGTATAGTAGAATATAGTAGAGTAGAATACTAGATAGACATGGAATAATTACATAGATACATACATATGTAACAATGGCCATGCCACAAGCCATGCCACAAGCCACACGCACATGCAAGTAAATAAGTATTACCGTATTAGGCAGGCAGGCAGGCAGGCAGGCAGGTAGGTACAATACACACAGTAGGTACAGTACATACATACATACATGTCTCATTCATCTACCCACCAACCACCAACCTCGTCTCGTCAGATTCGTTGGCGGTCCGCAAACTTCCTTTTCCTCCGGACCCCACATCTTATTAATCCCTACATGCGTACATGTAACATAATACATGATTAGGTACCCTCCTTGTGGCCGTATGTAATTAGTACAGTATGTACGTACTGTGGAGTGGAGTGGAGTGGAGTGGAGTGGAGTACAAAATAAAAAGCCCCAATTGATAGATTACAGAGTATGTATGTATGTATGTATGTATGTATGTATGTATGTATGTATGTATGTATGTATGTATGTACATACACGGTACATGGTACATGCGCCCTTTTTTAGACGAATTGGAACTGAATTCGAAATTGAAATTGAAATTGAAATTGCATTGACTCGAGTGTTGAATTGACGGCATTTCCAAAAAGGCGCGGCGTCATGTGGTAAAAGGAGGCACCATATCTACCGTACCTATACTTTGCATGTACAGTGAGTGGGTGGTAAATAATTGATGAGTACATATATCGTACCCGTCAATGTATATATATGTAAGTAAGCAATGCACTTGCCACCACCCAACCGAGAAAGCCTCGTATCTAAGTAATTACATAATAGTCGACGGTAAATGCAAAACACGGCCTGACAAAACCAAGGCACGGGATAAATCAAACAGGCTAGCCTCTCTCACTGACTGTCCATGTACCAGCTACCTATAGTCCAAACGGCTCCGGCACGTATATACCGTCAGACTCGGACAAAGAAAAAAGGGCATGTCGAGGGGGATGGATGGATGGACCTTGCTCCGACATTGGTGACAGTTCATCGGCCCCCTACAGTATATGTATTTGTACATACATGGCTTTCCCTACCTTTTGTAAAAACTATGTATGTACGGAGTACAGAACATGGGAACAGCGACGACCCTTGTGAATGTGAAGCGGTGAGTGAGGGAAGGCAAGGGAAAGCAAGGGGAAAAGAGTCGGTCGGAATCATGACAGATGGATGGCACGTCTCTCTGATGAATCTCAAACACTGACATGACGTCTGCATCTCTCTTCTGACTGATGAGACGGTGACATGACGCGACAGTGTGCGTGCGTGCATGCGTGCATGTGTGCATGTGTGGGTGGATGCGTGGGTGCGGGCGGGCGGCTTCGGGTTCGGCCTCGGCGTCTATTTTGTGCGGCCGACTGCATGATAGTGGATGGATGCATGGCAGAAGAAGAAGAAGAAGAAGAAGAGGGAGAGAGAGATGGATGGTAGCTTTGTAGATGGATAGATAGATACATGACGGGAAGGGAAGGAAAGGGTATAGGACAGGAGGGTATAGATGGGGTAGATGGGATAGATGGGATAGATGGGATAGATGGGACAGGACAGGACTCTCCCCGTCCGCCCCACCCCCTACCCCCCCCCCTCGGAGGTTTAAAACCCCCGACATTCGGCGGAACCGTTTTTAACGTTGACGGGATGGGATGGGATGGGATCTGGGATAATGAGTAATTAAGTAAGTGAGTATGTAAGTGTGTGAGTGAGTAAAGGGCATGAGAGAGTGTAAGTGTGAGTGTGAGTGTGAGTGTGAGAGAGAGACCCCCCTCTCTCAACAAACCCCCGCAGCACAGCAGTAATTAAATGACCAAAATCTCACTTACCTAATTGATACCTACACACACACACATACCTTTGTAGCTACATACCGTGCATGCAACACACACACACACACACCCGACATGTTTCAATCGCCCAGCCCAGCCTCACAACGCAACGCAACGCAACGCAACGCATCGTACAACCCCAAGTCGCGCTACTCCGGCCAAGGTATCCCATCTCATTCCTCAACAAGCTTGCCTGCCCATTGATTGATTAATCGATTCATTTTCTATGTAATATTAATACCCTCATCCTAGTCGTCCTCCTGCTCCTCCTCGTCGTCGTCGTCGTCGTCGTCGTTGTTGTTATTTATTCATATTTCAGGGCTTACCCCGGTCCCCCATGGTCTTTGTCGTTTCCCCACCTTTCCCCCCCCTTCTCCCCTCTCGCCTCTCTTCCCCATCTCTTATGATCCAAATGGGGGAATATTACTAGGATGCTTAGCATGTTAGGTATCAAACGAGGTCGGCCCCCCTCTCTTCCCTCATCCCTCATCCCTCATCCCTCATCCCTCATCCCTCATCCCTCATCCCTCATCCCTCCCTCTCTTTCTCCTTCTCCCCCCCCCCTCTCTCTTCCCATGTCAAAAGAAAAACAGAAAAAAGAGACAAGGTCTCCCACCCCAACGCTCCAGCGGGCCGTCCGTCGAGACCTAACTAGCATCAAAACATAACATGGCTTAGCGTTCGAGTAGCGTGGCGTGGCGTGTGTCTGCGTGTGTCTAGCGTGACCCCACTTGCCTTGCCCTTGCCTTTGCCTTGCCTTGCCCTCAAATTCCCCATTACTACATAGATGCTTTGGAAGGGGGAAAATGTGAGGTTTATTACTCTTTGATAAACTCACTCACTGACTCACTCACTCACTGTTGAACAGCATCTACCTACCTACCTACCTACCTACCTACCTACAAAACCATCACATACATACAAAACCATCACATAGACGAAGACGGAAAAGTAGTGGGTCTGTCCTGTCCTGTCCTATCCTATCCTATCCTGTCCCGTCCCGTCCTTCCCCCGGTCCGAATTCTTCAACAAAGACGGGGCCTGACCTAATAATTACAATGTAATCAATCAATCAATCAATCAATCAATCAATCAGTCTTGTCCATTTATCCATTTATCCATCTATCCATCCGCGAAAGAAAGAAACAATGAAAGAATGAATGAATGAATGAATAGTTGCATAATAGAATGAATATAAATAGATAATACCCCATATATACATACATGACTACAACTATAACTACAACAACCATGACATGTACTGTATGTATGTATATATGTAGAAACGCCGCAGACTAGGTTTCACCATGGCATCCATAGTATCCATAGTATCTATCCATATG